ACTTAGTATTTGTTGGTTATTTACTGCTGACTCGTATTTTGATCTCTGGATTCTTTATTCCAGTAACAAATACAATTCATTTTATATGTAAATCACGTTTTTATATTGGTCAAGTTTGCATGTTTACATCACTTTTCTGTACTAGTTTTGCAACTATTGATCAATATTTTATATCAAATCGATCTATAAGAATTCGTCAATTGAGTCACTTGTCATTTGCAAGAATAATTATATTAGTTTCTGTTTTTCTTTGGTGTTCAATAAATATACCAGTGTTATTTCTTTACAATGTATATCCAAGAAATAATGGAACATCAACTGTATGTACAGTATATTCTCCTGCTTGGTCCTTTTATTACACATATTTTCAAAGTTTGGCCTTGCTTTGTCTTGTACCTTTATCAATATTTATAATATTTGGTATTTTGACAAGAAGAAATCTTCACTCTGTACGTCAATTTCATCGATCAATTTCTCGTCAAATGACCAAAATGATTCTTTTACAAGCAACAGCAATGGGACTTTCTCTTTTCATAGCTACTGTTCAAATAATTTATCAATCAGTAACGATGAATATTCAAAAAGATGCATTACGTAATGCTCAAGATAATATATTTAATACAGTTGCTAACTTATTGACTTATGTCACTTATTTTGGAGACTTTTATATTTATTTATATTCATCAAAATCTTTACGTCAAGCTTTAAAAAGAATAATATTCAATCATGAAACAACTCAGTCAATAACCAATACAATGTTTTCTACTCAAAACCAAAACGGAACTATAACAAATCGGAATAAAGTACAACCTATAGAAAAGAACAATAGTTAAACAAAAAGACATTTGGATGGAACAATATCAATTATATATTGATTATTTATTTCTCTATCTACTATTTGCCTTGCATATTTTCCCGAGTTCTTTATTAATAATTTAGCTTTGAAACCTTTGCTTCTCGCTTAATCTATAATCGGCTTTCAAATTCTTTTTTTTTGTCATTGCTCAGTTGTAAATTAATTATATTCAAGAATGACTGAATGGGGAACCGGAAAGTTGAGCACGGGAAAGATTAGCACCGGAAAGATGAGCACAAGGAAAGTCGAGCACGGGAAAGATCAACACCGGAAAGACGAGCACAAGGAAAGTTGAGCACGAGGAAAGTTAAGCACGAAAAAATGACTATCAACAAATATATGACAATAACAATCAGAGTAATATAAATCTATTGAAATAAAATCAAACACGAAAATGTATGATAATAAGATCAAACATAAAAATATAGACATGAAATATATTAATTTACTTAAATTTATTCTAATTAGTAACACTTAATGAATAGAGAATAAAAAAATTAATCGCTAGTATAAAATAATGACGGAACACTTGTGCTCTCACATCGACCATTTTTCAACATGGCAGCTATTTCTAATAACGGAACAACAAAACAAAAACCACGTTTAGATCTCAATGGTTATTCATATATAAAAGATCGATCTACTAATGAGAAAACGTACTGGCGTTGTATAAAATACTCAACACATCGATGACGTTCTCATCTTCATACATGTGTTATTACGAATACTATTATTAAAATGCCGACAGAACATACATGCAAATCTGATGCTATATCATTTGAACAACGAAAGTTTGATGAAAGAATTGCTCATCGTGCTCGTTTTACACAAGAAGCATCAGATTTAATTGTTACTGACTGTTACAAAAGTAAGAATATTAAGTTATGGAAAAATCTTTTATTGAGAAACTTTGGTCTATGTATATATAGATATGACTGATCAAGCTATCGCTTGTTTACCTGCATGTGACAACGTAAAACGTAGAATTAGAATGCTACGTCAGAATAAACATGTTATAGCAACACCAAATGATCTAAATTTTGAATCTATTCAGGGGCGTACCGACTGGGGGGGGGGGCGTAACGCCCCCCCCTGCTTCGGAAAATTACTAGGAAAAAAGGGGTTTACGCCCCCCCTGCTTTTGAAAATTCCGTTGTTTTTGCTCATCAAAATAGAAAAAAATAGCGTTACGCCCCCCCCTGCTTTCGAAAATTCCGGTTTTTTGCTCATGGAAATTTTCGTTAGTTTTTAAGGAATAAATTTTGAGATTAGGTCGAGGGGGAGTAGGGGCTTTCTTTTTTTTTTAGTCTTCACTTTGGACTTTTGGGACCCTCCCCACTCTTGAAAACAATCGACAACCCTGGTTACGCTCCCCTGTTTCTGCAAAGTTTATTTTTTTTGGTCGTCGAAACAAAAAATTAGTGTTACGCCCCCCTGCTCTGACATCTGACTTACGCCCCTAATTTATTGATATGTAGCAAAATTCTCGACTGAAGTATTTACGCCCCCCCTGCTATAAGTGGCTCGGTACGCCCCTGAATCTATTCCAACATCATTAACTAAAACTATTCGTCTAGATCAATTTTTGCGGTGTGACACCGGTCCAAGTATGCATCTCAATGTATAAAATTTTATATTCTGTACTAATTTTTCTTATTTGTGCTTTTGAAGGCAATGAAAGAATATTGATATTTGCTAGTACTGAGCAATTTAATATTTTACAATCAACTACTGATTTTCTTATTAACGGGACCTTTAAAGTCGTCCCGGTGATCTTTTATCAACGTTATATAATTCACGCAATATATCGTGGTCATGTTGTACCTGTTGCATATGTATTATTACGACGAAAAAATGGTGCAACATATAATGATTTAGTTGATAGAGTGCTTGAATTTGCTCCACATTGGACTCCTGATTCAATTATGCTTGATTTTGAGCAAGCGTGCATAGGTGCTTACGATACAAGTTTTCCAGATGCTTTATTATCTGACTGCTACTTTCACTTTCGACAAAATCTCCACCGAAAGCTGCAGGTAATCATATAATGGGTAACTAACTAACTAGTTATATAATTAGGATACGACTTTTGCACTTAGTCACTTGGCCATCAAAATAAATACAATGATGATTCAGTATTTGCTCATAATATACACAAATTAGCTGCATTAGCTTTTCTCAAACCCGACGATGTCGTAAAAGGTTTTGAAGCGTTGTCATTAACTCTTGATGATGATGATTATCAAAGTATTATTGATTACTTCGAGGAAACATATTGGTGAGTGGTTTTTGTCTTTCAAAATCAAAAAACTCAGATGGCTATGTTTTAGGACGATTACGAGCAAATCTTATACGAAGAAAACTCACATTCAGTATTGAATTCTGGAATATGTACAACCGGACCATGCATTCTTTAATGAGAACAAATAATGCAGCTGAAGCATATCATCGACGAATAGGATCAATATTCCAATGTGCTCATCCAACATTGTGGGTATTCCTTCAAAAATTAATCGACGAAGAAAATGCTACACATGCTGATATCGTACAAATACGAGCAGGACAACCTCCAAAAATCACGAGAAATAGTGAACGTTTCGAAAAACGATTAATAAATCCTATCTCAAATCCTCATCAAGATATTTTAACTCAAATTGATTCATTAGCACATAATATTTCATTGTAATTCATTTTTTGTCATTAGTTTATGATATAAGCAAAAAAAAATTTAATACTTAGTTAATAAACTTATCTATATGTTGATATTCATTTTTTTGTGCTTAACTTTCCTCGTGCTAAACTTTCCTTGTGCTCGTCTTTCCGGTGCTGATCTTTCCTGTGCTCAACTTTTCTTGTGCTCATCTTTCCCGTGCTCAACTTTCCTTGTGCTCATCTTTCCGGTGCTAATCTTTCCCGTGCTCAACTTTCCGTGCTTAACTTTTCGTGCTCAACTTTCCTCGTGCTCAACTATCACCCATCAGACTGAATGTACAAGGAATTAATTAGCGAATAAATATTTATCAACAATGATTTATATCAATGCTCCAACTTAAAAAAGAAAATAATATAACACATGAACTTATAGGAAAATGCTCTTTGACCTAGTTTGACCACTGTTCTAGTTGGAATTCTTAGTGATCGATTGAGATTTAAATTTTGAATTGATTAAATGCTATTTTGACCTTTTTGAAAAAAAACAACTGACGAATGAAAGTGACACATATTTTTCTCAAATCTGTTCACTCTAATTTACATTGAATCAACTTCAAATGTAGTAAATGCTTCTTTTTCATGAAGTCGTATCACTAAATGTTTTAACTTCGCTCATTCAATTTCAAATGCTAGAATAGGTCTATCCTGGAAGTTTCAGCTCAATCTTTTGGCGTGTATCGAAACATCATATGCAAAAAAGGATATGGATGTAGAGATTGATGTGGGCCTATTCTTCTCGAGTAGTGTACAAAATTTAGATGTGAATATTTTTTTAGAGTATAAGTATTTTAGTTTTTATTATACAAAAAAAATTTTTCTCCAGCGGAAAAAAAAACTTTGGTATATTTTTAGTGTTTAACCATTGTTTTCATTGATCAACGGTAACTTAAAGCAGTTTGATGCACCATTGAATGTAGAATTTTACGTGCTATATTGTGATTTAATAATACTCAAAATATTAAACAATTATTCTTTGACTATTGGATAATTATTAATTAGTGAACAAAGTTTTTTAATTATTATTCCAAAAAAAATAAATCATCTTAATAGAATTTTCAGAGTATATTTAGTTTTTATTAGGCATAATATTCATTAACTTATAAGAATATTCACTACGAAATAGTACTGTAAATCTAAAAAAAGATTAAAATATTTCGAAAGCAAGACTTCTTCTTTCAAATGGAAGATCTTCACTCTTTGAGTAATGTTTTATGCAAATGTTATAGAGTTCAAAGTTTTAAGAAGTGATTGAGGTCATAATTGTTAGCTATTTACTGTGATTTTTCGGTTTAAAATTTGAAAGCGTTGTAAAATTTGAAAAGAATAATTTAACTGAGGGTGGAAACGTATCATCTTAAACAGAAAGTCTTGCTTTTCTCAAATTCAAAGTTTCGTTTTGCATTGAGGTTTTTTCAAGTAATGAACATTATGACTAGTTGAAACTGAAAATTTCATGAAAGCTGCATATTTTGAAATAACGATTACATCTTTTTAGAAACTTTTCAGTGCTCTTTCTCATGGAACACATGAGAGTTGAAAACAAAGCGAAGTTTTATACTAATCAAAAATTTGCCCATAGTAAACAAGGGGGAACAAACTGATTTCTAGTTTAGAAATCAACTGGAAATCACTGGAAATCACTAGAAATCACTGGAAATCACTGGAAATCGCTAGAAATCACTGGAAATCACTAGAAATCACTGGAAATCTCTGGAAATCTCTGGAAATCACTAGAAATCACTGGAAATCACTAGAAATCACTGGAAATCGCAAGATGATTTTCTGGTGATTTCTAGTGATTTCTAGTGATTTCTGATGATTTCTGGTGATTTCTAGTGATTTCTGATGATTTCTGGTGATTTC